TTCTCGTAAAGCCTGTGCACTCAGCCCCCTAGCATTATCTGAAGAAGGCTTGGCTCTGGGGCCCCAATGACTGGCCATTGTTCTATGACCAGGTTCACTGACCTAAGGAGGCTACGAGGTCCCTAATAGGCTATGGATGTATCTCAGTCCAACTTCCTCCTCCTTAGGGATTAACTGAAATATGAAGAAAGAGAGAAATCCACCAAGGCCTAGAGATAGGATGTATGTTGTCCAGAGTCTAGAGCAAATTAAGGAGTCACAGAAGCTGAACCCCTATCTCTAGATCCTTATTCTGGGGCTCACTTCCCTGCACCAAGCTGCCTCTTGAGGTTTACATGTCAATTCCAAGTATAGCACAATAATTACAATCGTCACCACAACGCCCTTCACATTTACCCCATGAGGTGCCGGGCTTCGTGCCAGGTTCTTAACGAGCATTAGCTCACTGGGTTCTCAGAACAAGCTTCTGAAGTAGGTGCAATTCCTCCTGGTTTTCAGATGAGGAAGCTGAAGCTCTGAGAGAGTGAAACGACTTCTCCTGAGAGGCAGAGACGAGATTCCAACTGAGCCATCCGCCTGAGGGCCCAGGCACATCAGATGAATGAAACCTCACTGCAGCCCCGAGGGATGAGGACATATGTGGCCCTCAAGGCTTGTGGGCAGCACTTCCAGGGGCCAAAGGGCTGATGAGGGCAAATGTAGCTCAAACCGATTCTCTCTGTAGAGCCCAAAAAAGGCTCAGCCACCATCAGCCGGGGTTTTTATGGGATTCTCTTTGTCCTCTAGGGACTCCATTACATAGAACAAGCTCCATGAGGACAGGGGATTTGAGTCGGTTTTGTTTACTTCCAGCACCTACAAGACTTCCAGCACCTACAAGAGTGCCTGGGCCCCATGAGGAGCTCAGTAAACACATGCTGAAATGGAACGTGACTGCCGGTGAGCCACAGGGAGAAACGAGAAAGACCATCACACAAAGCTTCTGGGTGGGGGAGTCCTACCGGCTGAGAGCCAACTCAACCCTAGGGGGGATGTGCACTTGAATAACAATGACTTGGCGAGAGAACCTTTGAAAATGCTCCCAGATGAGCACACTGGTTAAAGGAATTCCATCAGAAAACAATTTGTTAAGTGATAAATACATTAGTAAAGCAAAAATCACGACAAATTATCAAATTATCATTTTGTTAAGCCTGGATTTTTCTGGCTTTCCTCAGAGCAGGAGTTGCTCCCATCCACTCAGCAGGTATTTATGGAGCATTATGTGTGTAAAGCTCTGTGCCACATCTCAGGATCTGAGAACTGGATCTGAACTCTGGAAGTGCAGAGATCAGCCACCAGCACTGCGCCCACCTAGTTGCAGGTGGGAGAGCTGAAGCCCAGAGAAAGGTTGCTGGGGGAGGCAGGGAGTCCTAGTCCAAGGCCTGCTCCTGGCTCTGCCCTCTCAGCCCTCATAGCCATGCAGAATTCCAAAGTCAGCAGCTGGACCCGGCTCTGAATTGTAATACCCAGAGTAACACTTCACAGTTCAAGGAGCTGCCCCTACCTGTTTGTGCTAGGGGTCCCCAGGAATTAAACAACTTGGCCTCCCTCCCAGACCCTGACACACAGGCCTTCCAGCAGATCCTAGCTGAGCACACAAGTGTCTGCTGACCTCTTGTGGTCACCGAGGGATCTGTCCAGGCCCAGCAGAAAGGGCTTGGGATCCACCTCTGGGACATTCTGGTCTGGTGACCTCACTTCTCAAAGTGTTTTCCCATGGCCATTTCATTCTCGTAAATCTGTGCACTCAGCCCCACTTACCTCCTGGGGTCCTCCCTACAATCCCAGGAGGTGAGGAGAGCCAGGATTCCCATTCCCACTTTACAAGTGGGTGGCAGCACCCTGGGATCCAGTCCTAAATCCATTACTAATTCCTTATCTGACCTTGGCAAGTTAATTCCCCACTCCCAGCCACAGTTACCCGTCGGTAAATAGAAGAAATGACCTGCAGAAGGCAGCTCTAAGGTTTTTCCAGCTCCCCAAACTCTCAGAGTGGAGAGGTAACTTGACCAAGGTCAGAGTGAATCAGGGCAGAGGCACTCCTGGTTGGCAGGTCACCCCGCTTCCCCACACAGATCAGAAAAAGTGAGGGGTGACACAGCAAACAAGAAAACCAGTTCCTCCACCTTTGTGTTCTTATTGTGTATTGAAAGGCCACATGGACAGATGGATAGGTGAGTGGACGGATGAATGGATGGATGGATAGACAGATGGGAGCATATATAAGGACTTGGGGATCACTTTTAGCTGCAACTATAGCAGCTACTTGACTTCCCCTGCTCCCTGACAAGCTGCCCATATAATTTTAGCTGTCTCGCCCCTTGGCAGGCTGCTCCACATCCACCTACTGGAGTTCTGAAGCCCCTGCCGGGGCCTGATAGTCTGGAGCTGGGACTCACTGTAAGGAGAATGAGTCCTCATCCAAGACTTCCTCCCCATTGTGTCACTGACCACCATGGTCAACAATGGTACCCAAGGAGGAAAGCCATGAACAGGAGGCCCGCAACATGGGCATCCCTCACAGAGCAGTTCCTGTGGCCAAAAATGGGTGGACATTTAGGTGGATGCTGGCAATGAAGCTGAGGATCAAGAGGGCAGCTGGATAGCATGGAAAGAGCATGCCTTACGTGTGTCACACCCTGGTTCAAACCTAGTGATTCTGAGTAGGTACCTCGGCCTCTCTGTGCCTTGGTTTTGTCACCTGTAAGATGGGCGTGATACCTGACAAGTGTTGTGAGGACTGAATAAGGGAAGATATAAAAGGCCTTGCATGTAACAGGTGCTTGGTAAACAGAAGTTCCCTCCTTTGTTCCAGGTTGTGGAGAAATTCTAGAGAGGGAAAGAACAAGGTCCACTGAGCACCCAACAAGTTTTTTAAACTGGGAAGTTTTTCAAAGTACTCTCAAGTAGTGACATGCATTTGGCACTAGGGGAGGAAGGAATGAAATGTATTTTCAGCAAGAATTAAAAGTATGCTCAAACACACTTGATCCCTTTAAAGAGAGTATTATTCATCTGTCCCCTGCCATCGGCACAATTCTTCAGACACAAAGGATGTTCCACAAAGATTCCCAAGGGCAAAACTGAGGACATCTTTTCACAGCTAATGGGGTGGTGGTCAGGACTCCTGCGTCCCATTCTTCTACTTCCTGGGTGAGCATCTCCCTCATCCACATCTCCCTAACCCAGCTTAACTCCACCTAACAGCCTATCCAATCCCAGAATGGGTGACAAGTCCTTCTTAGCCATCTGATAGAAAGGGAAGACCTGGGTTTTAGTCCATCCCTCTGTTAAATAGCTGACCTCAGGTAACTGATGTTACAGCTGAGGCTCCCACAACACCATCTGTGGAATCACGCTCCAGGGGGCTCCAGGTCCCGGCTCCTCCACTTCCAACCAGAGTGATAAAGACAGGGAACTTGCCACGTGGTGGTTAGGATATGGTCTTCAGAGTGAGACAGGCTTGAGGTGGGCTTTGTCGCTTACTAGCTGCCCAACCTCAGGCAGGATTCTCACTCTCTGAGCCTCAATTTCTCATCTATAAAACGGCTCAGAAAATTACCTAAATTGTTGTTGGGAGGATTCAGTGAATTATGTTTAAAAAGAGCTGAGCCTTGTGCCTGGCACATGAGTGCTCAATAAATGTTAATAGCGCAACAGTTTTCATTACTAGAACGGGCTTCCAGATAAGATTTTACTTGGACTAAGAGTTCCGTGTGTATATGTGTGGTGTGTTCACTGGACTAAAGAACCTTTAAACCCCTCCCTAGCTCCAAATTCTTTCTCAAACAATAAAGTCCCATCTAACACCCTTCTATTCTTCCCTGTTCCCTCACTCATTTTCTTTCCCTTAATCTTCTTTTTCCCTCCCAAGAATTAAGCAGCCTCTCCAGAATTTCATCACTTCTTGTTCCCTACTCAAATTTAACATCCTCTGGTTTTTAACGCAAAAATGGAAAGAGTAAGTCCACACAATCAGAGGTGCGTTAGTGATTTATAAAGGCACTCATCAGGCTGACATCCCAACTCCTCACCCACTCCATTCCCAGGGGCCCTCCAGTCCTTTGGACCACAGCATGAGGATGCAAAGACCCTCAGCCAAGGCCAGCCATCCAGGGTGCATATGGCTGGAGACTAGATCGGAGTAAGGCTCAGAGAGGCTGCATTAGGTGAGACCTAGGAGGTGGAGAGTTCCTTCAGAGAGTCTGGAGAAAAGAGGGGCTGGGGCTGCTCTGCAGGCCCTCTGAAAACTCAAAGCCCTTCCCCTTTCTATATACAGTGCCAAGGAAGAAAAGACTTTTGAAATGAAACAAATCTACCAAATGTAAGAAATACACCAAAATGCTAGCAGTGGTTGACCTAATAGGCTTTTTTGGTAAATGTGGTCATATTACTTGTGTAACAAAATTTAAATATTTAAAATTAATTATTCTAATCAGTTGCACTCAGCCAAGAAAACAGACAAGAACCTAGAAAAAGACTGTTTGGCTCCCACTGAAATGTAGCATGCTCCAGTTCTCAAAGCAAGACCATAGAGGGGGAAAATAAAACACCTTGAACATCTGGCTCCCCACCCCGACTCCAGCCCCTGATGGGCTGGGGCATCGCCAAGATCCAGCTTAGAGAAGGGCTGCCAGATGGCGCCAGGCATCAAGGGTAGAGGGACGTGATGAGGATGACGATGAATGAGGACTTCCTGAGGAGGACTTCCGAAAGCCATCAAGAGGACTGAGGTCCTTACCCAGCAGCTGTGGTGATGCAGAATGACCACTCCACGGCAGTCAGGAAACCTGCTTCTAGTTCTTTGCCACTAACTTGCTGAGTGACCTTGGGCAAGTCAGGTCACCTCTCTGGGCCTCAGTTTCCTCATCTGTAAAATTAGGGGACTTGGTTAAGTTAAAAAAATACGTACCAGACCCTTACTCTGTGCACTGTGCTGAAGCTATAATACAAAAAAGGAATAAGATAGTCATTTATTCAAAAAACACTGAGTGATTGCTCCATTTACTAGGCATTGTGGTTACAAAGATGAGTAAGTCAGCGTCCCTGCCAACAAGGCATTTTACAACCTGGTCAGGGAAACAGTGAGCAAAGAAGAAATGGCCAACGCCCCCTTGGGTGCAAAGGTGTGGGAACAGGAAGGAGTGGCCTTTTCTACTGGGGCCAGGTAGGGGAAGTGCCACAGAAGAGGCCTGAACTGAATCTTGAAGGATCTTTGCTCCCTGCTCTCAAAGACTGTACAACCTAATCAGGGGTTGGGACAAGTACCCAATAGCTACAAGGCGGAGTGAAGCCACCACAGGTAATCCAAGTTCAGAGGAGAGACGAGACCCATGTGGCTTAGGCAGGGTAGGGAAAGGCGCAGGCAGGAGGCAGAAGGAGGTCTGAGAAGCTTTGCTGGGGGTGGGAGGGTTGGGAGGGTGGGGAGTGGCAGTGAAATAAGCCTTGAAGGATGAAGAGTTTCCTGAGAGCCCTGAGGTGCTAAAGAGGCATTCTAGATGAGGGGCCTGCCGTGAGTAAAAGCACAATGTGAAGTCAGGGTGTAGTTGGGACAGCAGGCAAGCCAGAGAGTGAGGACTGGCAAGGCTGGAAGCCAACTGGAGCCATCATGATGAGAGCCATTGGAAATGATGGGCCCTGGGCCAAGTACTCCACATCCTCACACCAGTTCTTGCAGGCAGGTTCCCTCACTACTATCCCTTTCAGATAAGGAAACAAAGGCTCAGAGGTTACAAAGTCACATAGCAGATAGATGGCAGAAATAGCACTTAACTCAGGTCTGTCTGATGCCCCACCCCTTGACCTCCTTACCACTGGAATGCTAAGCAGTGGCCCTTCTCATCTAAGGTACCGATGTCCCAGCACACCTGGCCTGGCACTTGACCTCAGGCATGTGGATACCAACAGTCGATCTTTGCCTTAACCGTGTAAGCCAGCTTGATTGGGCCTCTTCCCCTTGGGCAGCTACAGGACTACCAGGACTCCTTCACCAGAACAGAGGGGATGGGGCGGGGCCAGGAACAGCACAATTGCTGAGGGTTTTTGTGCTCCACTGTCCACTGGTCTGGGTTTATTGTTGTTCTATGACAGTGTAGGCTAGCTAGTTTCTAGCTCTTTTTCTCCCATCAGCCTAGTGTCGTCATGGCTCTGGGGAAGATGATTCTGCCTTGACTAGGGTGGCCGGATTTTCTCTTCAGGATGGAATTTCAACTGGAACGGATGCAATCGGATGCTATCCAGGTACTGCTGGACATTCATGGATTCCCGTCTCCAGCGCCCCAGCTTTCTGAGCTGGTCCGTCATGAACTTTTTTTTCAGGTGGTCATACAAGTGGCTCATCTTTTTCTTGGTCTTGTCTGAAGCTCTTATCTTACAAAAAACAGAGGTGAAGTTATGATAAAGAAGCTACTTCACAGCAAGAGAGGTTATCTGTGCTGCTGCTATGGGGATGGAAAATGTGCCAGCTGGACCCAATATTCCATAAACAATGTGACTCACAGGGAGCCTCCATTTTCCTATTTGTAAAATGTGGGCATTGAGCTAGATAATCCTCTGGTATCTTCGGACAGGAATGTGCTATTGACCTCAACATCTCTATGCGAAGACTAGTTAGAAAGAGGAGGGGAGGGGTGGGTGGAGAAAGGCTGCATCTCGTTCCTCCCAGCTTCCTTAACTCCTAACAGTGCACTGCTCATTTGGTGCTTCCTACATATTGTTGGTGACATGCCTTACATGACACTGAACTCTACTTATTTCTTCTGTCATATCATTTCTGTCCTGTCCCCAATAAGACTGTAAGCTCTGGGAAGGCATATCCTTTGTCTTACTCGTCCACTTATTTATTCCAATGAGCTAGCTATGGAGAGGATACTGAGAAAAATCAACCACAGGTCTTCACGGAGACTACAACACAGTCGTGAAGGTATTTCCCAAATATTTGGGACACACACACAAATATTTCTAAGCAAGGCAGAGAGTGATTTCACTTTTACTATGGACTAGGATCTCTCAACCTTGGCACTATTGAGCTTTGGGGCCAGGTAATTCTTTGCGGTGGCGGACTGTCCTGTGCATTGTAGGATATTTAGCAGCATCCCTGGCCTCTAGCTACTCAATGGTAGCAGTACCACCCCACTCTCATTTGTGCTACCAAAAATGTCTTCAGACATTGCCAAGGTCCCCTGAGGGGCAAAACCATCCCCAGTTGAGATCCGCAGCCAGAGATGAAGGAATACCAGCCATCACCCACTGTTTTCAGAGAATTGCTCAGAGGATTCCCAAGACACTAGACCTTGGCTGTCCTTGTTGAGGCCCTGAGAAATGAATGGCTAACTGAAGCTGCCTCTTGCCCTAATGTGAGCACTTTTGGGGGGAAACAAAAACACTGCCAAACTGCCACTCAGGCCTCTCAAATCCACTGAGTTCCTACAAGCTGAGCCCTCAGCAAGTCACTGCATCTACAAACACAAAGACAGCCCCTGTCCTTAAGAGAGAATGTCCTGCACCATGGTCAGTCAGACCTGAGCCTGCAACTCTGCAACATGCAATGACGTACTGTGTGACCTTAGTGAAGTTAGTCCATCTCTCTGAGCCTCAGTTTTCTGAACTATTAAATGAGATAATAATACATAGTGGACGCCGAGTACCTAAAACACATATGGCTCAATACAGCTTTAACAGGAGATCTTCTGAATGACCAGAAGATGGCACAGCCCTCTGGCACATATAAAGCCAACTCAAGAGAGTTTCCAGTTACAGGATTTCAGAGATCCTCACTCCACTTGCCAGAGGTACAACATCCTCTACCTACTGGTTACAGGGGTTGGCCCCCAACCCATCCTGGGCCAGTCAGAATAGCCCATACCATCTGGCCACAATGATTGGGGCATGGATGGGCCCATAACCCAACTGGGGCCAAATGGAGTCCTTCTCCGGGATTTGCCTAACTTGAGCAACAGTGGAAGCACTGCATTTCCTTCCTGGGCTACAGGCCAGGGATTCCTGTGGCCACGGACCCCAGGGACAGCCAGCCTGATGATGATGCCAACATACAGAAAGAAGCAGAAAAGGAGATGAAGAGGAGAGTGGAGGACACATCCAATGGCATTGGAGCCCCTGGTTTCTCCTATCCCAAGTATTGGTGACCCTGGCCCATCTATCCTTGATTATGTAAACTTCTCATTCTCTATTTTGCTTGAACTAGCTCAAGTTCAGTTCGTGTCACCTGCAACTGAGAGGATCCTAATAGATCCTATTTTGCAAATGAGAAGAGTCCCAGAGGAAATGTGATTCCCCAAGGTCACGTGAAGTTGGCCTGCCCATCTCCAAGTCTACCCAATTTCCATTCCACTCCACCAAAGGAAGTTTAGCAGAGGGAAACACCCAGGCCTCGACTCTTCTTTTGGTCTCTCTGGTGCTCAAGATCTGGCACCATCTCTTAAGCCTCCCTCTTTTTGATGTCAGAATCCCATGCACCCATCCAGGTTTGGCTCTGGAACATGAAGGGAAGCTTAACAGAGTCAAGAAGTGGGCAACAGCTCAACTCTGGGCTGCCTGCTCTGCTTGAAGAAACAAGCATGTCCTCAGAGTCCTTCATATTCATTAGTCTCTTCCTCATGACCAAAACAGTGCCTAGCAGGCCCTAAACATACCTTCAATGAATTAATCAAGCAGAGTCTATGGGGTGTTGGCATTGTGGTTTCCCCACCCTTTTTCTGAGGGCTTTTGGGTAAGCAGGTCAAACCCTACTTGTCCATAAGCAAAAGGCAGAAGAACCTCAGTTCTCATATTGAAAATGCGGGATAATCCTCGAAGGAAAAAACTAATCAAGTTGTGTTGGTGCCACTTCAAGATCTAGGACGCAAGACTTCTTTTTATGGGAGATAATAGGAATCCACTCACAGATTCCCTAAATAGAAAGGTAATGTGCTTTGAGAAAAAAAAGTGCCACAAGAGCCAAGAGACTCGGCCCAAGGACAACTGTGACACCTTGGAAAAATAACTAACCCCAAGGTTCATTTGCCTCCTCTGTAAAATGGGGCTTGCATAGAGCACCTTGATGGCTCCCTATCACCTCTAAGATCTGTGATCTACCCCCGGGTACTGGGGAGAGTGAAATGAACATGGGTCAAGCCACTAACACGCTCTAATGCAAAAGCTTTAACTTTACCTCCATCTCATAGATTCGTTGTGCACAGAGGTTGTCACGAGTAATCACCCGAGATAAGTGGCTCTTGGGTAGAAAATTTCTCATTGCTGCTTCACTGGAATTCATTAAGCTGGAGAGAGGAGGGGAAGGTGGTACAGGTTGAGATGGCTGAGGCCAGGGCTAGGCCTGGGCCTGATCTGATGGGGTCCTGGGGTAGTAGTTGAGGATTCCCCAGATTTCTCAGGAGAGGCACAGCTCTGTCATAATTATCAGAAGAGCAAGGGAGTAGACCCAGGTTTCTTCTTGTGGAAAACGTGCACTCAAGGGGTGGGTTTTGGATACTGAGAGGAAAAGCCATCCTGAAAAGGATGTAGAAAGGCCCAGAGCAATTCAAAAGAGAAGTGTCAACAGGGCCTGAGAACTCTCCTCGTCTTAAGGAGAAAATGAGGTTGAGGTGGGAGGCACCTGCTTCAGAGCCTAGGACTAAGGGGCATCTGAAGCGGGGAGGAGAGGTGGTCAGAGGAAACAGGGAAAAAAATGAATAAAGAGTTTGAACAGAGGTTAGGTTGGTTAATTAACAGGGGAATTCTAAGGGAAAAGGGTTTGGAAAAAGTCTAAAAAAGTGAGGAAAGTCTGGGGTAGACAAAGATTTGAGGAGACTGGGGGGTGAGAGGTAGAAGATGGAGTGGAGTAGGGTGGGGCGGGGTGGATTGGAGCCAGGCGCTCCAGGTGAAACCAGAGAGAACAATTTGGTCAAAATAAGGAATTGGTCAAAAATGAATAATATGGGCCGGCCTGGTGGTGCTGCGGTTAAGTGTGCATGTTCCACTTTGGCAGCCCAGGGTTTGCCAGTTCGAATCCTGGGTGGAGACATGGCACCGGTAGGCGTCCCACATATAAAATCGAGGAAGGTGGGCAGTGATGTTGGCTCAGGGCCAGTCTTCCTCAGCAAAAAGAGGAGGACTGGCAGATGTTAGCTCAGGGCTAGTTTTCCTCAAAAAAAAAAAAAAGGATAATACAAGGCACTGAGTTTTCACTTTTTGATAATTTAGTTACATCATGAAGCGGTTTTGCAACTATGTACCTTTAAATGTTTTTGCCCACTTAAAAATAATTGCTCATATCTTCTTTCTAAAATTTGGAAACTATATAAATATATAATAGGGAAGGAATTGAAAAAATTGTGGTTAGATCATACAATAAAATACTGTGAAGTTATGACTAAAACAGATATCCACAGTGTGTTAGGTGGGGAAAAAAAGCAGGTTACAAAATAGTAAACATTTTTGTGACATATTCCTCCCCCCAAATGTGTAAGCATATCTGTAGTACATATATATGAATGGATCTGGAACAATATACACCAAAATGTTAACAGTGATTCTCTCTGGCCATTCACTTTGCTTGTCTGTCTTGTTTGATTTTTCTATAATAAATGTCTACTACAAAAAAGACAATTTTTAAAGGATAAAACATTTTGAAGGATTAAAAACATTTTTTCTATTTCATTTTCAGCCAATTTAGAACTAAGGTTTTATGAATGTTTTTACATTTACAAACTGGTAGAAACAAACAAACATCCCCAATCTCCCATTTATATTTTTCTGACAGCAAAGGTATGAGGTGGTGGAAAAGACTGGATTAGAGATCAAGATGCTCATGTACAAGTCCCCTAAATCCTGTTTAAAAAAAAAAAAAGCCTAAAATATTTAAAGTCACATAAAACACTCTTCACTCACTCAGTGCTGCACCAAATTTACCAATACTTCCTGGGAAGGAAAAAAGAAAGGCAGTGACTGGAAATATTCCCTTTCAAGTAATAACCATTTTGAACCAAATTGCTTTCTGTGGCAGCCTGGAGGATGCTGTCAGGGGGTTGTGAAATGGAAGTGGGAGGGGAAATGAGGGTCTGTGGGGTTTGGGGCCGGGCTGAGGGAACTGGGGGCTTTCCCAGAGCCACTGGGGCACGTACAGGTTTGAGGAGAGGGGAGTCAGGCTTTGAGGGGGGACCTGGGCCTCGCCACGCTCTAAGGAAGCTCAAGGCTCGGCCCAAAGGTCGCTGGGGACCCTCGGGTTACACGATGTCAAGCCTGGGAGCCTGTAGGGCCGGGCCATTTGGATGTGTGGGTCGGAGGTGGGATTTTCGGCTTCTCCCGGGGGTCCGGGCTGGGGGCGTTCGGGCTCCCGGGTTCCCGGCGGTGCGGAAGAGCTGGCCTGGGAAGGACCTGGGGCCGGATCTGCAAGAAATCCAGACTCTCCCAGGGTCTAAGAGAGGGCCGGGCTCTGAGGAGCACGAGGCTTCCGGGGAGCCAAGGCCGGGGTCCCAGGGGCGGGGGTCAGAGAGAGTTCGGGCTCCCCCAGGGGCGCCGGGGTCTGACAACCCCTCTGGGCACGCGGGCCCCACCTGAAGAACACCAGCGGCTGCGTGGTCCGCGGCCGCAGGAAGCAGATCTGAGGCCGGGCCCCTACGTTCACTTCGGGGCGGCTGGCGACCCTACTGCGCCGGAAGAAGGCCGAGGCCGGGTTGGTACCGGAGCTGGTGGAGGCCTGGGCGGCGTCCGCAGAAGCCGTGGACAAGCCCAGGTTCCATGTGACCGAGGGCCTGGCCTGCTGAGTAGTCTGGTCTTCCGCGCTCGACAACGACTCCGGAACCGCAGGCAGCTTGGAGGCCATGCTCGGCGGGCGGGCGCCGAAGTGGAGTGAGGGCCTGCGCAGGCGCGGTGCGCTGAGAACCGCCCGTTGCCCGGGAGACGCGAGAAGGAGGCAGGACCCAGGGGGCAGGACGGGTTCGCAGAGCCGAGAAGCTGCGGACGCGATAGGATTGTCCCTCGGCGGCCGCCGTGGGGCGAAACGGCGCGTTGCCGTGGAGACGGGCTGGGCGAAATGGAGTGGGCTGCAGAGCGCTGAGCTGACCCTACTTCTCCTTTAGGGCTGCCGTGGTGCCCGCCTGATCGCAGGGCAGGTAACCAGGTGAGTCCAGGCGGGGCAGCTCCGGGGCGGGGAGACGAAGCCGGGGTTTCTCCAAAGACCCGGCGCAGTCGATTCCCACACCCCCCCCCCCCCCCCCGGGGGACCGTTGCTATGGAAACCAGAGCGCCGGGCCGGCAGAGATTGTGGCTTCCGTGTCGTGACTCATCTTCTCTCTCCCCGAGACCCTCGACCAAGGTTTCGAGTGCGACTGCTTCCTGAACGAACCTGCCCTCCTGCCCGCGGGAGACAGGTAAGACTGTCGGAGTCTTGACACCGAGCAGGCGAAGAAGCCTATTCCAACACCAACTCCCCAGGAAACCTACCTGGCTCACCCCAGGAAGCGGCGCCCCGCTCCGGGCAACCCGTGAACCTTGTTCCACATTTATAACCCAGTATTAACAAACGCCCTGCGGTGTTTGCCGACGTTTTCCCACACAGAATGAGAGAAGAAAGTCCGGCCTTCGGACCTTGCTTTGTGACCCTAGACAGGTCCTTTTCCCCTCTCTGCCTCATTTTCCCCACGTGTAAAATGGAAATATTAACTCCAGACACCGGCCTGTTATGTTGCTTTGGAGATGTTACCAAAAGGGAAGCCAAAGGCTTTGTAGGCTATAAAATGGTGAATGTGAACTGCAGAGTCACTGTTTCTCCACCATCCTCCCCCTCGTGCTGAACGTTCTTGTTTGTGTCATTTCTTCAGGCGATCACTCTCTGGCCCCGAGCCTGAAATAAATCCCTTTATTCTTCACTTCCATGTTGCCCTGCGTTTTAACTTTCCTAACAACAGCAAGAATAGTTAGCATTTACAGAGGGCTCACTATGTGCCAGGCCCTGTATTAAACACTTTACCTGCATTACCTCATTTAGTCCTCCGAAGATCCTTATAAGGTAGGCATTGTTATCCCTATTTTCCCACTCTGTTGTGCCTGTAATTGCCTATTTGATGTCCCTCTCCCTCTAGACTTTGAGCTCTGTGAAGAAGGGGGCCATGGCTGTCTTGTACGTCTCGGTATCCTCAGCACCGAAAACAGTGCCTGATACATATTTCTTGCCTAGCATGAAGATGACTCTCCTCCCATCACTACCCTCATCTTAAAAAGCAGTGTCTCCTCTGCAAACTTCTTGTCGCTGTAATGAACAGCGGTCTCCCCTATTCCTGTTGTCCACTGGACACTAGTTTTGGGGGCCCTCAATCCAGTTCTCTCTGGGTTTTTGGATGATGAGGATCCAGAACATCCCTTAGCATTTAGGCCTCCACCTGGGTTTTGGGGGGCTTTTTCCCTGCCCTCACATGACCCTTAGAACAAACCAGCCCCCGTGGCCCTTCCTGGGGTGAGCCTGATACATTTGACTCCAGGGCACTAGCAGGTAGGATCTGCCTGTGCAACCTTTGGCCTTCTCTCCAGTAGCCTAGGAACCACCTGCCCCTCCACCCAGCCCCTCCCCAAAATTCTAGAGAAACATAGCCAGAGAACTCATCCTTTCCAGAGAACCTCTCAGAAGGCAGAGTCATGGTTGTTGGAGTCATTCCTTCGTTCAACAAATATTTATCAAGCACGACCTTGTGGGGACACTGAGTTTGGCACCAGTGATACAGTAGGAGTGAAGATAGGCACAGTGGTATCCCCATAGAACTCACAGACAGATCAAGGCAAAACCACATCTTCAGGAAGTGTTAGGAAGGAGAGCACATGGGGCCCGCCTGGAGCAGGGACTTAAGCAATTGTGGGGAGGGCTGTGGTCCCAGGTGGTTTCCCTCAGAAAGTGACCCTTGGCTAAGATCCCAAGGCTCACCAATCCTCTGCTGAATGGAACAGATCAGGATCTGACAGGCTTGGAAGGAAAGGGGGTTCTGGGCTGAGACAGCAGCAAAGGCAAAGGCCCCTGGCCAGAGAGGTGGATGTCCACATGGAGCTGCAAGTGGCTCAGCCTAGCTGAGGCCCTTCAGGATGTGGGAAAGGCTAATAGGAAGCAGGAGAGAGGGGTTGGAGCCAGGCCACAAATGGCCTTGACAGCCGAGCTAAGGGGCTCCATCTTATCCTGACAAGGAGCAGCTGCTGAAATGTATTAATCAGGGGAACAGAACTTCGGCTCCTCATTTTTCTGTGCTGGGTGAAGACTGCCATTTGGCCTTGAGAGGTTTGCTGTAAAACTGAATACTCCTATTTCACTGAAAGACGTGAAGATGTGCTATTTTTTTCAGCTTTACTCAAGACTGAGAGAGTGAGGGGCCTAGGATTTCTTAGGAGAAGGCAGGAGTCTGCCCCTCTCTGGGGTGCCTGCGACAGCCCTGCTGCACACAGCATTATGCTGGGATGGCTTGTCTACCTGAGGCCTCTCTGCACTTCCTCTTGGGGGCTGCTGTGGTGCCCCCAGGAAGCTGGCCTCCAGGAAGCTTTCAGCCACCGTCTTTGCCAGGCCCTCCTTGGGGGCAAGGTGCAGAAGTATGGTTAACAATGTAGTACTCTCTAACTTGATGTCAGTTTCACATGGGCACATCCTGTCTCTTCAAAAAAGATGGTTCTTGGAGGGGAGAAGCTGAGACCCTCCTCTCTCTTATACCTCCAGTGACGCCCAGCACAGTGGGCTCTGTTTCCATGTCACTGATTCAGAATCTCATGATTTGAGCATAAAATCAGAAGACTGAGGAGGGAGACGATACAAGTGGTTCCCATTAGAGGGGCTGGAAGGAAGGAGAGAATTTTGAAGAAAAGGGAGAGGACAGCTGTGTGAGCCTAGATGGAGAGTCAGGCCAAGGCACAGCTTAGGGACACAAGTCAGCCTGCCCAACTTGAAATGTGGGGTTGCTCAAGGGAGGCCTTGAGTGCCAGGCTTGGGGGCACAGCCTTTGTCCTGTAGGGCAACACATGTCAGATCTCCTGAGAAGCATGCTGAAAATGCAGATTCATGCTCCTCACTCCGAGAGCCTACTCTGTGGGTTTGGGGAGGAGCCTGGGGATCTACATTTTTGATAAGTTCCCTGGGGAATCCTTCTCAGATGGTCAGAGGACCACTTTGGGGAATTCTGCTATAGGCCAATCCATCCATTTCCCAGAAATCCCCTGGGGTTGGCCTGCTGGCCCAGCTGGGCTCCTGCCCTCTAAACATTCTCTCCCTTCTTGCAGTTTTCCATGACATAGCCTGGCAGAAAAATGCAGCCTTTATGCCTCACTGGCCGCTGACCCACCGGCCTGATGACAGCACCCCCGTGTACCTTCCCGGTTCAGTTCCGGCAGCCCTCAATCAGTGGCCTCTCACAGATCACAAGCAGCCTATATATCAGCAATGGGGTGGCTGCCAACAACAAGCTCATGCTCTCCAGCAACCACATCACCACGGTTATCAACGTCTCAGTGGAGGTGATGAACACTGTATACGAAGACATCCAGTATGTGCAGGTGCCTGTGGCCGACACACCTGTCTCGCGTCTCTTTGACTTCTTTGACCCCATCGCTGACCACATCCACAGTGTGGAGGTGAAGCAGGGCCGCACGCTGCTGCACTGTGCTGCCGGCGTGAGCCGCTCAGCCGCTCTCTGCCTCGCCTACCTCATGAAGTATCACGCCATGTCCCTGCTGGACGCCCACACGTGGACCAAGTCGTGCCGGCCCATTATCCGGCCCAACAATGGCTTTTGGGAGCAGCTCATCCACTATGAGTTCCAGCTGTTTGGCAAGAACACTGTGCACATGGTCAACTCCCCTATGGGAGTGATCCCTGACATCTATGAGAAGGATGTCCGTTTGATGATTCCGCTGTGAGCCATCCCACCAGCACCTGCACCAGGGCCAGAGGTACAGATCTGTCATTGATCCAACACCAAGATCTGAACTTGAACATTCTACTTTTGTTGATAAAGAAAAATCCAGATGATGCCTTTTATAAGGGCAAGGACAAAGGAAGGGTGCTGCCGCCTTAACCTCGTAATCCATATCTTTAAAGATGAGACTTACTAAATGTAAAATGATGAAGGTGAGTTTCCTACCCTGTGAGTGACTCCTGGCCAGAGGGGAGGGTGAGGCTGATGGTGCCCAAGTCAAATAGACCAACGCCCAATGTGTTATGGCAAGCCTGGGACCCTGCAGCCGTCCCCGAGACCGACTAACCCAGGAAGGGGTCTGCCACAGTCCCACTTCATTCTTTTTGAACCCAGAACTAGAACCTTAAGCATCATGACACCTCCTGTGCTGCTCACAGTAAATGCCAACCTACTGGATAAGTGGCCTTCAAGCGGTGCTCTGGGGGCCCCAGGCCAACCCTGCTTCCACCTTCAACCATGGGAGCCCAACTCTGTTTTTCTAGATTGGACTTACTCATAAGATAGTTTTCAAAGAAAGCATTCAACTGTATAAAAACTCTTAAATTTTTTTGAGTGCTGTTATACATGGCCTCAAAGTGCCCTTGGTGACCGCCTACCAGTCTTTGATGAAATGTAGCATTAGTCTCCTTCTCTGGGCCACGTGTGGAGAGTGGACCTGACATTAGGCCTCAAGGATTCCTCTCACAGGCCTTCACTCAGAAGGCTCAAGCTGCGGACCGGATCCTAGCCTTGTCACTTCCTCCCCATGTGATCTGGAGTGCCTTGGAGCCTCGGTTTCCTCATCTGTCCAAGCAATGACAGCCGTTTCTCACAAGGTTGTGGAGAAGATTCACCGATTCCTTAGCGCAGTGCCTGGCATGTGGTAGGCGCTTAGTGTAACCAGCAGCTCTCGCCATGAATGATGCTCTGGCCCTGCTGGTCCAGGTCAGCACAGTCGTTCTCATAGCATCATTTCCCCCATTGGTGCACAGCCCTTTCCTGTTTACAAAATGCCCTTCCAAAAAGTCATCCAGTGTGGAAAAAAAAGAAAATGGTTTGAGTCCTTTCAGACCCCGCCTTAGAGGAGGCCTAGACTTTGAAGCCTTTAAAATCAGACTTCCCATTTTGTGTAATCAGTGTGCAACCTGGGGGTCCTAAAGCAAGGAGCACACTTCCAGCTTCCCCTCAAAAGGCCTTGTTTAGATCACTGACCATTAGAGCCAGTGTCCTGGTCCGGCTGACCCACTGGGGTCCACAGGGGCACATGCCAAAGAGACAAGTAAGTGAACCCTATGTAGGCCCTGAAATCAGGATTGTTCAGATCCCCCAGGGGCCTGAGGATCTGGCTCAAGTCCAGCTATTCTAATCCAGAGGTTTTCAGACAAACCATAGCTGAGAGAAAAGCACAACTACTCAGTGGGTCCAGAGCGGAGTAGAGGTGGCGGCCAACTGCCCTTTCCCTCCAAAGCCACCTCTCCCACACTCCCACAAAGGCGTGCACAGGGGGTGCAATTTTAGGGTCGGGGAAGAGGAAAGTCACTGTTTCTAGACTGATCTTCTCATGTTACAGATGAATAAACAGACCCACAAGCACCAGGGCTGGTGTAGCAGAGCCCTCACAAAGCAGCCTTTCTGGAAGAAACCCAGATGGAAAATTTCTTTTAAAGCATTTTTAAAGAGAAGTTTATTTGGATATATATTGTTTCCATTTTTAAAATTTTTAAATTATCATACCGTAAAATTAACTTGTTCATATATACAGTTATGTATGTTTTAACACATTTCATGGCTACCTCTACAGTCAAGAGAGAGCAATTCCATCACCCAAAAAATTCCTTTATGCTGCTCCTTTGTATTCAGACCTTTGTCCCACCCCAGTCTCTAGCAAACACTGATCTGTTCTCCTTCCCTATAGATTTGCCTTTTCCAGAATGTCACACACATTCTGGATTACATCCTAAGAGGATGTAATCTCTGGAGACTGGCTTCTTTCAGTGTAATATCTTTGCGATTCATACATGTCACTTTTTATGGCTAAGTAGTATTCCATTGTATGGATATACCACAGTTTTTTTACATTCATTAATTGAAGGCTATTTGGGTTGTTTCCAGTTTGGGGCAATTTTGAATAAACATTTATGTATAGCTTTTTATGTGAACTTAAGTTTTCATTTATCTAGGGTATATACTTCGGAGTGGGATTGCTCAGTCATGTGGTAAAGGTTATGTTTAACTTTATAAAAAACTACCAAATTTCCAGAGTGGCTATACCATTTTGTGTTCCACTATGAGATCCAGTTTCTCTCCAGTATCTGGTATTGCCAATATTTTTTACTTTAGCCATTCTGATAGATGCATGGTATTAGGTCATTTTGGTTTTCATTTGCGTTTCCCTAATGGTTAATGATGTTGAGCATCTTTTTGTGTGCTTAATTGCCTTCCATATACCGTCTTTGGTGAAGTGTCTGTTCAACTCTTTTGTGCATTTCTAAATTGGGTTTTCTCACTGTTGAGTGTCGAGAATTCTTTATATGTTCTGGATACAAGTCATTTGTCAGATATGGATTTGTAAATATTTTTTCCCAGTCTAGCTTGTCTTTTCATTCTCTTAAAAGTATCTTTTGCAGGGGCTGGCCCCGTGGCCGAGTGGTTAAGTTCGCGCGCTCCGCTGCAGGCGGCCCGGTGTTTCGTTGGTTCGAATCCTGGGCGCGGACATGGCACTGCTCATCAAACCATGCTGAGGCAGCATCCCACATGCCACAACTAGAAGGACCCACAACGAAGAATACACAACTATGTACTGGGGGGCTTTGGGGAGAAAAAGGAAAAAATAAAAAAAAATCTTTAAAAAAAAGTATCTTTTCAGAGCAAAAGTTTTTAATTTTGTTAAAGTACTACTTACCAATTTTTCCTTTTGTGGATTGTTGTTTTGGGGGCTTTTTTGCTGAGGAAGATTGGCTGTGAGCTAATGTCCATTGCCAATCTTCCTCTTTTTGCTTGAAGAAGATTCTTGTCCCTGAGCTAACATCTGTGCCAATCTTCCTCTATTTTGTATGTGTGTCACTGCCACAGCATGACTTGATGACTGGTGTAGGTTCCACACCCAGGATCTGAACGCATGAACCTGGGCCACCTAAGCAGAGTGCACCGAACTTAACCACTACGCCACAGGCCAGCCACCTATGGATTGATGTTTTGGTGTCATGTCTAACAACCCTTTGCCTAACCCTAAATCACAAAGATTTTCTCTAATGTTTTAAAGTTTGAGAGTTTAAATTTTTCACTTATTTCTGTGATCCTTTTTTATAAGATGTGAGGTTTAGTTTGAGGTTCACATTTTTCCATATGGATGTCTAATGGTTTCAGCTCCATTTGTGAGAGACTATTCTTTCTCCACTGAGCTGCCTTTTCACTTTGTGTAGGTCTATTCTTGGACTCTTTATGTTTTGTTTAATATGTGTGTGTTTCTCTTCACCAATACCACACTATCTTGATTACTGTAGCTTTAGAGTAAGTCTTAAAATAGAATAGTGTGTCTTCTGGTTTTCTCCCTTTTAAAAAAATTGTTTTGGTTATTCTAGTTTCTTTGCCTTTCCATATAAATTGTAGAATAAACTTGTCTATATCAATAACAACAAAAAAACCTGCTGGCATTTCAATTGAAATTGTGTTAAATCTGTTGACCAATTTGGGGGAGAATTGGCATCTTCACTCTGTTGAATCTTCTGATCCATGAACATAGTATGTCTCCCCACTAATTTAGGTCTTTGATGTCTTTCATCAGTGCTTTGCAGTTTTCAGCATACAGATCTTATATGTTTTATTATATTTATACTTAAATATTTCATTTGAGGAAGGACATTGTAAAAAAAATATTTTTATATTTTGGTTTCCAGTTGTTCATTGTTAGTATATAGATGTATAACTGATTTTGTGTTGACCTTGTATCTTGCAACCTTGCTAAATTCACTTATTCTGAGAGCATTTTTGTAGATTCCTTAGCAGTCTACATTAAGACAATCATGTCATCTGCAAATAGAAGTAGTTTTATTTCTTTCTTTCCCATCTGAATGCCTTTGATTTCTTTTTTTTATTACACTGGCTATAACTTCCAGGATGATGATGGACATGAGTGGTGAGAATAGACATTCTTGCCTTGTTCCTGATCTTAGAAAGAAAGTGTTCAGTCTTTTACCATTAACTATGATGTTAGCTACAGAATTTTTGTAGCTGCCCTTTGTTAGGTTAAGGGAAAGTTGGAAAGTATTCTCTCCGCTTTTATTTCCTGGAAGAGATGTGTGAATTGGTGTTATTTCTTCTTTAAATGTTTGGTAGAATTTACTAGTGAAACCATCTGGACCTGGAGATTTCTTTTTCAGAAAGATTTAACAAAGAATTCAATTCCTTTAATAGTTAAAGGACTATTCAAATTATCTGTTTCATCTTGGGTGAGTTTTGGTAGTTTGTGATTTTTGAAGAAGAGATCAATTTCATTTAAATTGTCACATTTATGCATGTAGATTTGTTTGTAGTATTCCCTTATTATCTTTATTATTTGCAGGGTCTATAGTAAAATCACCTTTTCATTCTTCACACCTATCATTTGTCTTCTCTCTTTATTTGTTTGTTAGTCTGGCTAGAGGTTTATCAATTTTTAAGATCTTCTTAAAGAACTACCTACCTTGTGTTTTTTATTTTCTTTATTATTCTTTCCTTCTCTATTTCATCAGTTTCTGCTCTTTATTATTTCCTTAATAATAAAAAGGTTCTGCTTGCTTCGATTTTATTTTGTTCTTTCTTCTAATTTCATAAACTGGAAACTTAGAATATTGATTTGAGATCTGCATCCCACAAATTTTTATATACTTCATTTTCATTTTTGTTCATTTCAAAATATTTTCTAATTTTCCTTGAAATGTTCTCCTTTACCCATGTATTATTTAAAAGTGTGTAGTTTAATTTCTAAGTATTTGGAAATTGTACAGCCATCTTCCTGTTGTTGGTTTCTAGTTTAATTCCATCGTAGTCAGAGAACTATTGTCAGAGAATATTGTATGATTTCATTTGTTTTTAATTTGTTAATGATTACTTTATGATATAGGATATGGTCTATATTGGTGAATGCTTCATGTGCACTTTGGGAAAAAAAGGTTATTTCGGATGGAATGTTTAATAAATATCTATTAGGACCAGTTGATTGGTGGTGGTTTCAATTCTTTTACACTCTTCCTGATTTCCTGGTAATTATTCTGTTGATTACTGTGAGAGGAGTGTTGAAGTATCCAACTAAAATTGTGGATTTGTCTACATCTCCTTTCAATTCTATTAATTTTTATTTCATGTGTTTTGAAGCTTTATTGTTAGGTACATACATATTTAGGGTTGTTATATCTTCATGGTGAATTGACCATTTTAACAGTATGCAATGTCTCTTTATCCATCTTCATGTTTTTTTCCACCTTGATTTTTTTGCCCTTTACTTTGTCTAATATTAATATAGCCACTTCAGTTTTGTTTTAAGTAGTATTTACATGATATCTCTTTTTACCTCTTTTTACTTTTAACCCACCTATAATGTTATGTTGCAAGTGGGTTTCTTGTAGACAGCATATAGTTGGGTCTTTTTTTTATATATCCAATCTGTCTCTTAATTGGTATATTTAGACCAAAATTATGGATATGTGGATTTAGGTCTACCATTTTATTGTTTTCTGTTTGTCCTCTCTGTTTTTCATTCCCGTTTCCTTTTTCCTGCCTTCTTTTGGATTACTGAATATTTTTTAAGTATTCCATTTTAATTTTGTACAGTTTTTTAGAGGTTGCCCTAGAGCTACATACTTATCTTCTCATATTCTACTTAGAATGAATATCTTGTCACTTCTCTCTGCTGGTCATATTGGATAATGTATTAGTTTTTTCTTGGTGTCATAACAAATTACCACAAACTTAATGGCTTAAAACAACATCTATTTATTATTTCACAGTTTCTGTAGGTCAGAAGTCTAGTTGGGCTTGACTGAGTCCTCTGCGTAGGGTCTCAGAGCCAAAATCAAGGTGTTTCATAAGGATGAAATCAAGGGTGTTTTTTACTGGAGGCTCTGATAAAGATTCTGCTTCCAAGCTTATTTGAGGTTGTTGACTGAATTCACTTCCTTTTGTTGTAGGACAGAGGACTCCATTTCCTTACAAACTATCAGCTAGGGGCTAGTCTTTTCTCCTAGAAGCTGCCAACACTCCTTCTAATGCTTTCCATGTGGCCCCCTCCAGCAATGGAGGGTTGAGTCCCTCTCATGCTTTGAATATGTCTGACTTTTCCTTCTGCTGCATCTCTGAATCCAGCCTGAGAAAATTCTCTGCTTTTAAGGATTCATGTGATTAGA